CCATCAGAGTTTTTTGTCACTGGTCATGGATGTGGCAGGGAGGGGCCGGCAGGGTAAGCAGAGGAAGGGGCGCGTCTGCAGCCTCTCGCCTGGGCCATGCCGGGCCGCTGGGACCCTGACCTCCATGGTAGGTGAGTGACTCTCTGGGTGCCTGTGGGTCTGGTGGAGGCAGCAGGTATTGACCCCACGGGGCAGGGGTTCCCTGTGAAGAGGGTTTAGCAGAGAAGTTAAAAAGCAGAATCCCAGCATGTTAAACGTGGGGAGCCTTGGAAAGCCTGGGTGGTCAGACGCCTTTGCTTCACAGCATGGGCCAAGACCCAGCATGGCGAAGCGGAGGACAGGGCAGAGCGGGCTGTGTCCCCTCACGCCAGCACAGGGCTGGCCCAAGGTACTGCCTTCTCCGGGGAGGGGGGCCAGAAGCCAGGGGGCTAGGGACCAGCCCTCTCTGTCTGTGTGTCCCCAGGGCGGACAGTGAGCACTGGAGGGGGTTGTACCCTTGGGTCCCATTTGGGTGGGGTCCCCATGAAATGGGGCCTCAGCCCCAGATGCGCCCTTTCTCACTGAACTGACTCCTTCCCCTCCCACTCAGGCTCTCAGACTAATTAGAGTGGGGGCTTAGCGAGCTGTGGGAGGGCGGCAGCCTTTCCCAGGAGCTCAGGTTCCTGCACCCCGGTGGCCCAGGCCAGGCCAGGGGAGGGGAGAAGGAGAGTGCGCCAGGGAGGGTGAGTCGGGGGGTGGAAGGGGGGTGCTTCGGCCTCACAGGCTGTTCCCAGGATGGGAGCAGTAGGAAGAGAGTGTGGGCGGACAGTGAGCCTGGGGAGCAGGGACCCAGCACTAGGGTTTCAGAGCACTGGAGCGTGGGCTAGGGCCGGGACTGCAGGGAGACCCAGAGGCCGCCGTGCTCCCCGGTGGGAGCAGGCTGGCTGTGTGGGGCCTTTGGGAAGGGGCACGCGGTGTGGGCGGACGGCACCAGGTGCTAGGATGCCCAGGGAGCCCCATGTGGGGAGCACTGCCTGGCTTAGGGGCCCTGGAGACAAAGCTGGGGCTGGGAGGGTATGGCATGGAGGTGTCGGGAGCTGCGGGCGCCTGGTGGAGGCAGCCAGTGGGAGAGGGGAGCAGCATTTGGGGCCCTGAGCAGAGTCTGGGGGACCAGTGCATATTTGGGACAGGGGGTGAGTGGTCCGGCTCAGGAGCAACTTCTGCCCCTCCCCCTACTCAGACACGGACACCCAGCCTTACAGGAGGCTCTCTGGTGTGGCAGTGGGGAGACTGAGGCTCTCCCCGCAAGGGCAGAGGGGTCGCCCTCACTCTCGGCGCCGCCACCGCACCAGCTTCAGCCCAGTGCAGTTGGAACAGCTGGAGTCGGCCTTTGGGAGGAGCCAGTACCCTGACATCTGGGCCCGAGAGAGTCTCGCCCGGGACACCGGCCTCAGCGAGGCCAGAATCCAGGTGACACGCCAGGGTCCCCCCTCCCTTGGGGAAGAAATGCAGGTTCTGTGGTTCTTGGGGAGGGGGAATGTCACAGGCCTGGACTGTCACGGGCCTTGTAACCCCAACCTAACATTCCCACCATCCCAGGACCTCATCTCATGGGCCCTGGAGCTTGGCCTGCCTCTGCCCTCACCTACCCAGCCCTTCGTGGGGTGTGTATTCCAGGCCTGGCTGCTCACAGGCACACGATGCCCCCTCAGTCGCAGCCAGGTCGTGAAGGGTGAGCATTAACCCCACCCAGACTCTCACCTGGTCTGTGACAGGAACACTTAGCCTAGTTCTGACCTCTAAGCCTAGCCCAAGGTGAGAGTTTCCGTTCTCTCGGGAGGGATAACGTCATTGTATCATGGGAGGGCCTCAAGAAGTTCGTGGAAAATGTGTGTCATAAAAGACCGTGAATGAATTTTAAAATACTCGACACCAGAATATCCTCCCTTGAATGCCATTTTCCAGAAGCTTTTCGGCGTCCTCTCGTGTTCCTTTCTGTTGGCAGTCGACATTTCTGACTCGCCCACCTGGGCAAATTCCGTAAGCTGGAGGGGTGTGACCACGGAGGGGACCTGGCTCAGCCAGGCCTCAGGAGACCTTCCCTCCCTCCGGCCCTGTGGGAGAGGCTGATCCTGCACGCCGTCCTGTCACTGGAGGGTGGGGTCACATGGGACAGGGGCTCTGACGTGGCTGTCCTCCCCTCCCCAGGTCTGGTTCCAGAATCGCAGAGCCAAGCAAAGGAAGCAAGAGCGGTCGCTGCTCCAGCCGCTGGCCCGCCTGCCTCCCGCCTCCTTTCCCGGTTTCTCACCCGAGGCCCCCGCTCACCCCCGCTCTTACACAACACCAGCAACACCACCTGCCGTGGCCTGCCTCCCGCACTCCTACAGCCACGCTCTGCCCTCGCAGGCCTCCCCAGGCCCGTTCGCCCTGCCACACCAGTCTGAGGACTGGTACCCTACCTTGCACCCGGGCCCCGCGGGTCATCTGCCCTGCCCCCAGCCCCCACCCATGCTTCCCCTCAGCTTCGAGCCACCAAAGTCCTGGAACTAAGGTCAAAGGAGTGCTGAAAATGAGACCCCAGCCTGGGGCCCTCACGGCTCAGAGTAAACTGGGCAGCTAGCTTCTTCCCTTCGATGGTGCAGTAAAAACTAGTGAGGGGGGTTCGCGTCCCGGACCCGTGGCTAAAAACTCACGCTGGGCGCGTGTGTGTACGTGCCCAAGATCCCGAGAGGAGAATGGAGGAGAAGGGATTGTGGTGTGGACATCCCCCCTGGGGGGTGATTGCTCGCTTTCTGTCTCTCTGTCTCTCTCTGTCTGTCTGGTGAGCGCACGCGCCCTATAGCAAAAACCTCTTAAAAAATAAAAAAAAACAAAAAAAACAAAAAAACCACAAAAAACTAGTGAGGGGTAGTTCAGAGGTCGGAAATTGAAAAACAGGAGAAGATGTTGAATTATCACCGAGGTGGTAAACGGACAATTTGGGGAGTCGAACTACTGGAAGATGCAGGAGGAAAAGTCTCAGTGGAGGTGGTCGTGGCCACTCCACTGCAGGTAAGTGGAGATGCCTGAAGGAGATTGGACCGGGGCTCCCTTCACCGAGCTCGGGAACGAGACGTGCATCCTAGCCGTTTCCGGCTAATGTCAGTAAGGCTCGATCGCAAGCCCGCCACACACCCTGTCCCCACGGCCCACCCTGCTGCCCCATGGCCCTCACCTTTGTCCATTCCGTTGTAGAAGTGCCTCTTCTTTTTATTCCGACAGACGCTTTGCTTTTTCTGGCCCCGTATTCTCTGGCTTCTTGTCCTCATCGGTTCCTTTAGCTCTGTCTTTAGAACTGCTAACAGAGCGTCATAAATCTGAACAGCAAGGAATGCTCCTCGATGCCACGGAAAACACGCAAACGAGGTCTGACTGGTGTGGCCGTCGGCCGTCAGCACCTCCTGCACCTGTCCCGTCACCTGCCTTTAACACACGTGGGCTCTGAGAGAAGGAGGCATCCGATTCAGGGTTCGCTGTTCTAAGAGCCAGTCATCTGAGGCTCACAGCAGTCGTTCCCGGCAGGACTCACCACGGGAGGCCGTACCTGAGTCCTCCTGAGGGGACCGAACACAGCCTCTGCTCGCAACTCACCCGCCTCCTGGCCCCGCTGCCTTACTGGCAGGGCATAGAAGAACCCTTAGTCAATAACCTCCAGTGACGAATACTCATATTTGAAGTTTTAAATATGTGCTATTTAGAAGTCTGCAGTCAGACTGGCCCTGTAGCCTAGTGGTAAGGGAGTTGGCTCCCACATGGCCAACCACAATTTAAATCCACAATTTGAAAAAAAGAGCGACCCCCACTAAGGCCAGCAGGTGTGTGGTGGTCACGTGCTGGGTCCCACATAGTGACTGCTGCCTCAGTTCCGGACCCAGAGGCGTGAAAGCCATGACGGGCACAGGCGTGTGTGCGCGTGCACACCGAAAATCCCAAGAAGAGTGGAGGAGGGACTGAGGTATGGCCATCCCCTCTGGGGGCGCTTTCTCACTTTTCCTCTCTGTCTCTCTCTGGCAAGCACATGAGGCTTATTGCAAACTAAAAAAAAGAGAAGAAAAAGAGAAGGAGAAAAGCAGTTCAGGGCTTGCATCCTGACAGAACGGAGGAGTGGAGGAAGGATTGTGACACGACCTCGCCGCACCGAGGGCTGCTGTCTGTCTGCCACCGTCAGCGTCTCTCTGGAGTCCAGACTCCTGAGCGACACATGGGCACTCCTCCCATCTCCTGGAAATCCACACTAGTCTGCGCCCAGGGCACCTGGGGGTCCTTCTCAGCACGTGCTGTTGACCTTTGCCATTCTCGGCAATTCGTTAACTGAGAATGTCTCCTTGTGCCTTCTTTTAAATTTTTTATTAATGAGGGACCAGCGGATGGCGTAGTGGTTACGTCACTGTACTGTCACAGAGTTGACTGCAGCTTGAGCCCCAGGCGGGCAGCTTAACGCTCACATGCGTGCCCAAGATCCCGAGGGGAGACTGGAGAAGGGATTGTGGTGTGGCCAGCCCCCCTGGGGGTGATTTCTTGATTTCTGTCTCTGTCTCTCTGATGAGTGCCCACACCCTATAGGAAACGTCTCTCTAATTTTTTTTTATTCATGATTGTTTTTACTAGCAAATTACCTCGTTTCCTATTCTGCACTGCTTCGGAGTGGTCTGTGTACTTGTGTGGGGGTCACTACTTGTCAGTGTGTGGGAGCTCCGTGTATTAGGGAGACCAGTACTGGTGTGTGTGCTGCGCCTACTTTCCAGTTGTATTTTTACCCTTTCTCAAGGCTGTTTTTCTGAGAGAATTAACCCCCACTCCCTGGCACCTGCTGTGTGTAATGACAGGACCTAGAACGGCGCTCGGTGTGTAGAGCTGACCGTTTAGAACTGAGTCATCTGATGCATTTTCTGAGTTTTGTGGCTCAGCCGAGGAGCTCCGGGTCAGAATATTCCTTCATTTCACTGTCTTCACCGTATTTTCTTCACATTTGAATCAGATGTTAGCCCGAATCACCTGTAATGTATTGTACTATGTGCACTAAAATATAACATCGGCGTGATTTCCCCGTCGTTCAGCTTGCTTGGTTATCATTTAATAGTCTAACTTGCCCCATTGGTTTGTGAAATTACGTATCTACACAGGCGTGTGCGGACTCTAATTCTTTTTCATCATTCAGTTTCTCCATTCTGGCCCAGTGACCTACAGCATGTTGATGGTGAAAGTGAAGGATTGTTGGTACCTTTGTTTCATTATTTGTCCAAACGTGGTGTATCCTGTCATTTCTTCCAGGCTTCTCTTACGCCGTTCAGAAAGTTCTTTTTTCAATTTATTTTTTCATTTGCCAGAGGGCGCATATGCTCCTGGGGAGAGAGAGGGCACGAGAGGGCACGGACTGCTGCAAGACCTTCTCCACCATCTGGCCCTTCCTGGGGTTCTGGGGCACAGGCTCCTTAACACTTCCCCAACCCCATTTTCAAGCTAGTGGGTCCAGGACTCCAGCCTCCTAAGCCACCAGGCCTGGTGATTCCAGGAAGATTCTTTAAATAAAACAAAACAAACCCTCGTGGGTGTTTATAAATGATGAAGTCTATGCCCTCAGCAATGAGTCAGCTGGGAAGAACATGCACAGGCCATCCGGTTCGAGCCTGGCTCGGTCCAGCGGCAGTCCTCCAGGCGGCGGGCGGCTCAGGACGGCGGGACCAGCGTCTGTACGAGTCCTGGGCCCGGGAAGGACTCGTCCCGGCGCGATGCAAAACTGACCCGAGCGCTTCTAACGCCTAGTGCGGGGTCCTGGCCGGCCCTGGCCCGGTTTCCGAGGAGACTCAGCTGCAGGCTGGTGTAGCGGGACTCCGGCTGCCTGAGGGAGGCAGGAAGCGTTTGTAGCTTCCTTTGAAGGTTCGCAGGTGGCTTGTTAAAGTGCCTGCTGGGGCCGCCTCGGTGGTGCCGAGTTCTCTCCGCCCTCTCCACACAGCAGGGGAAGAGCCTAAGAGCCAGGGCAGGGCTGGCGGCGCCGCGCAGCGGGAGCGAGTCCGGATCCTGCCTGGGACCGAGGTTCGATTCCGCCCAGGGGAGGATGGCTGAGAACGGAGGAAAGGAACGCGCGCGTCCACGGCCGGTGGGTAGGGATCTTCCTCTCCTTTCCCGTCTCCCTCTCGTATTGGGCCTGGCTGGAGCGGAGGCGAGAAAGAGGCCCTGGGAGCAGGCGGCCGGCTCCCAGCCTGGCCCAGGCGGAGTGAGCGGGCGGCGGGGCACGGGGATGCACCCCTCTACCGCTCCCCTCCCACCCCCCCCCCCCGTTTTTTTTTTACCGCTCCCCTCCCACCCCCCCCCCCGGGCAGGGCATGGGGAGCCTTCCGTGCTCAGCGGCCCTCTGCAGGGGCTCCCGCCAGTACCTGCTCCTGGGGGACAGTTCTGGGCGCAGCGCAGTGGCGTGAAGCCCTCCGCTGCTGCATCTGCCGCTGCGATCTGTGCGCCGTCCCCGAGCAGGGGTGGGCGAGGCGGGCAGAGCAGCACCAGCCGGGTGCTGACCTCGCCGACCTCGCTCCGCAGGCTCAGGCTTCCTCACAGTAACCGGGATAGTACGGCACCGGGGGAGGGAGGGGCTGGGCCTAAACCGGCTGACCCCGAAAGTTTCCCTCTCCCCAGCACTCAGGCAGCAGGCGACGCCGGACTGAGACCGACGCGGAGCGGGGTGCGGCAGGGGCCCGTTTCCTGTCCTTGTATGGCACGATGCTTACTGCGGACACTGAGGTCTGCTTTCTGGTCCGGGAGCAGGAGGGAAGGATGCGAAGGGCCCTGGGGACCGTCGGAGCGGACGCCCTCCGGTGTCCCTGGGGAGTGGGACAGCACCGCCCTCTGGTGCCACGCGGCAGAACTGCAGCGCGCGCTATTTGGCTCTGCCGAGCCTGACCCGTGGGGAGGACCTTGCCAGGCCGTGGGTCAAGTGTCCCCTCACATTGCACTGCGTTATCCAGGCACCCGTGTCCCTCCCTGGACAGCAGCCTGGGGTGTCCAATGGGGACCCCTTACCTCGTCCTCACATTCCCACTGCTTCTGGGACCTCAGGGCCAGTGCCTTTCACCCCTCGTCTCCTCGGCATCTTCAGAGTGCGGCGCTCCTCCCTTGGGTCCCGGCTCCCCGACACAGCCAACGGAGCTTAACGTGGCCTGGGGCCTTTGCTGCTTCGTTGCCCTTCTCCCCTCACCCAGCCACGCTGACCGGCACTCACACCCGGGCCCCAGTGGTCACTCTGTGTGTGAAGGCCTGCCCACGAGGCCGTCCTCGGGAGCTTCAGCACTCTTCTGCCCTTGACCTGAACGAACCCCCAACAACATATCGGTACCCTCCAGATCAACAAGAGTGATCTGCTTACCCCCCCACCC